TCTTAAAAAAAAAAGAAAGAAAAAAGAATTTTGCCCTGACCGGTGTGGCTCAGTGGTTTGGGAATCATCTCACAAACTGAAAGGTCACCAGTTCAATTCTTGGTTAGGGCACGTGGGTTGGGGGCCAGGTCCCCAGCTGGGAGTGTGTGAGAGGCAACGAATGGATGTTGCTCTCACACATCAATGTTTCTTTCCCTCTCTTTCTTGCTCCCTTCCCCTCTCTCTAAAAATAAATAAATACAATCTTAAAAAAGAAGAGTTTCTCTTGCTGTTCCACAATCCATAATCTTTAGTCACCCAGTCTACTACTTACTAAATTCTTGGTGATCGCATTAAGAGATTCTAGTCAAAAGAGTGCAAATGCCAACACACATATAGGTATGTGTTTAACTCCAATTCAAGAAAGTATAAAAATAATACAGCCATAAAGTGTCATTTTCACATACCAGATGAGACGAAGTTCAAAATATTGCGAAAGCTTAATGTTGGCAAGTATGGTAGAGAAGCGAGTATTCTCAAAAAAGACTGGTAATCAAAATGTAAATTAGTGCAACCACAACCCTAAGGAGGGCAATTTGGCATCATGTATCAATTAAAATTTTAAATGCACATTCCCTTTAATGTAGCAATGCCATGACTAGGACTTTATCTTTAAAAAAGAATCTGACAAACAGATAAAAATAGGTGTGCAAAGTTGTCCAAAAGTAGCAGCCAAAGTTTAAAAGTAACCTAAGTGTGCAACATGAAATATTCACTTCATGTAGCATAGTTCACTCAAACATCATTTCATTAACATTAGTCAGAAGCTCACTTATTTTACCCTCTTCCAATTTAGTGTCAATCCCCCTAAGTGCACTTTCTGGTCGTTTAGCTAACCTATCATTAAAATATAAAATTTTAGACACTGAAATAAAACACAATTTAAATATTGACATGGTCACGTGGAGCTATAATTACCAAAAGGAAAATACGTCCATAATATTTTTTGGTGTAATAAAAAGGTTAGCTTTAAAAAAAAGTATAGATGAAATGGCTCTATTTCTTGTTAAAAATGCATATTTGTGAGTATGTGTGTGTATTCTTTCAAGAATAGATTGTGATTGACTTTGCTTTGGCATGATGTTGTGCAAAAAATGGATGGCATCCAAATACAATATCTCTGTTGTATTTGGAGATACCCAAGTACAGTATCACGAGGGGAACAAAGCTAAGTCTCCAGGAGATAATGTATTCAGTTGTGTGCTGGTAAATATTTAACGACTTGCCCTCTGGTGGGGTGGGGTGGGATTCCGATTTACCGATTTTTGTGGCAAATACCTCCAACATTACTCATTTCGAGCTACTAATGTGGTGTCACTGAATGTGGAGTCGGGAAGAGACACACAGCAGCACACCGTTACATAGTGTTTCCATGACACACATGCAACACATAGTGTTTCCATGACACACATACAAATAATCACAAGGGTATAGATAATGTTAAGATACAGTAAACTAATTGAAAAATGATGTGCTTTGTGCATGCGTAGTTTATAAGTCTGGAAGGAGCTGTCACTAATATAATAATATTGATCATGTCTGAGTGTAAATTTCATGAATCATATTCACTTCATTCTTCAGATATTCATATGTGGTTTTCCTATTTTTATAATAACCTGTTATCTTTATAATCAGAGGAAATAATCCAAGGTAGTTTTTTTCTTATTTGTTAAAACCTAAGACAGAAAAAAATGTCAGGGAATATTACTTTTAATACAAGTCTTACCGGAGCAAAACACTTCTCCAAATGGAGTTTGATTTCACTAAAGTGTCACTAAGGATAATGGTGAGCGATGTCTGAATCAATTAAACCATGATATATCTGTTCAGTCATGCCGTAAGGGGATGAGTATTCAGTGTTTCAAAGACCTTTCAAATATAAATATGCAACATCAGAATTCAAAGGCCCTCTGATATTCTTACAGAAACTAAGTCCTGAGACAGGCGGGTGGCTTCCCAAGGCAGGCGCTACAAGGCAGGTCATGAGGTGACTCAGCTCCTCTCCTTGTATAGGTGGTCTCCATGCTTGTGGTCAAAGTGTATATTCCTCACTTGTCATTATTTAATGAGAAGAGAGGACCTCATATTGGGAAGCAGTATTCATTTGACTGGCTAATTGCTGAAACCCTGACTCTTTCGTCTTTGTTTAGGTAATAGCAGCTTACTCTTCTCTAGAATTTTAGACTTCTCACAACACTTCCACACAGATGACCTCAGCTGTACTTCATAAAAGCCCTGTGAGACAGGTAAGGTGAAAGGACCACTCCTGGTTTACAGATAGGAAAACCTGGGGCTAGAGCAGGCAAGCGGCTAGCCCAAACCTAAGGAAAGCCAAGTGTCTGGTCCAGTCACCGTGTGGTCTGGAAGTCAGTTTCTTTTTTAAGGCTTCTCTGACTCATCTGGGTGAACCTTCTCTACAGGTCAATGTCTCCCCTTTCCTTTCTTACTCCTTTAACAAATTCTTTCTTTCATTGGTTCTTATCTCATTTTGTGCTTAAAGTTGTTACTTTCAGGTCACTCAGAGTTGCTCTTTAGTTTCTGTTTCTTTTATACTAGAATGAAAGATAGCCCCAAGCATTTTTGAGTCTGGATATAGTCCTGTTCTTCTCTATTTGACCTGAGGACTAACCCATAGAGTGCTGTTTTCTCTTGAAATTTGAAGTGATTTCTATTAGCAGAGGAATGACTTCTGCGAAGGCCTTGTATATATTATAAAGCAAGAAACTGTAAGCACTTTGGTGTGGCACATTTCTCAGTAAGCTCAGCTTTCTGAAATGCTTAACATTGAAGTCTGAAGGGACAGGCTTTCTCAGAAAACACTAGTAATATTTAACAGAATGGATCCTGGGGAATCAAAGATCATATGCTCCTAAGTTTTGTTTTATGAAGGGAGGAAGTGGGTTCTGTGAAGAGTACAATGTCCTTGGGAAGAAATGAAAAGTGTATCAATGAGCTATGTTCAGGTCCAGGGACAAAAGAGCTACCGACTTGTACGAACCTCTGTGGCACCTCAGCTCCAATTTTTGCTTGACCTTATACAAGCCAGTCCTCAAGTGCATTAGTTTCCTCACAGTTACTATAGAAAATCATAATGCTTACCTCCCAGGGTGTAGTTAAAAACTAAATTAGCTAGTGGCCTAAAATATATTTCCAAAACTAAAAAGCATTGTGAAAACACATGGAATGCCTTTCAGATAGCTTGATAATTTTTGAAGTTTACTGCTCTTGGCGAAGGGAGTGGGGTAGTTCATTAAAAAGGGACAGAGTGTCAGGCACTGGAACAGGCAGGTGGCCAGGTTTTCCCAAGCAGAACAGGGTGCATACTAATTGCTGCACCTCCACTGAGAGTCTGGCCAAGCGACTCCTCTCCAGAAAACACAGTGTCCCTTTCCGTATCAAAGGCTGGCTCCTAACTGGGCTCCTAGCTGCATACAGAATTGAGTGGACACCCCGTTGCATTGGGGGGGTGCTATTATGAAGATGAATATTAATGAAATTGCTTCACAAGTGTGTGTAAACTCCAGAAGGGATAGTAGTCTCCCTAGAATTAAAAATGTCTACTTGCAGGAACATGCTTAATGAGTGTCAAATGACAAATTGTCATAGAGCAGAAGTGAGCGTATGGGAAAAACATAGATATGTTTTGATCTGATAATTTGAGGGAGGATTAAAGAAATTAGAGGGAAGGCGATCCTGCCTTCTGGTTGGTAGTATTCAAGATGGCAATCAAAGTTTCAATGTAAGATAGAGAGTAATGGAATATTCATTCTCTAATGAAAATACTTTGGAAAAATAAAAATAGGGTCAGAAGCTCATTTCTGGTGACATTTGTGTAGGACCTAAGAGCAATTACCATTTAGCAGTCAAATTTTAAAAAATTAAGGAGATGGTTGAGAAAGACACAAAAATGTGGGTGCCTTATAGTCCCTTATAGTTTTTCAGCTTTGATAGCAGAAGGGATCTACTTTTGAAGGTCCAAAAAATGTTGTTGCTATAGGAACAGGTAAGCAGATTAGACTTGAAAGAGCAGTTTAAGAACAAAGAATTTAATAGTCAGGGCTAAAGCAAATAACCAAGAAAACATTTTAAGTCAATATCTTTTAGGTTTGCTATTTACATATTAATCCCAGGAACATAAAATACTATTATAGAATGAGAACATCACGTTTTAATTACATCATTACTGGCACACACAAAAATATGCTTACACAATTAGCGGAAAGTCCTTATTAGACAGAAGTATGCATTTCTAACTCTCTCTTGATTACACTATAATTAAGAAATATAGCTTTAAATCTAGTGAGAGTGTAAGAGTCATCTTTTATTTTTCTACAGTTCCCCCGATGGGAACACATCAAAGATGAAGAGAACATGAACTATGGAAAGTTTTTTCTAACCAACCTCTATCACTACAGAGCTACAGGTAAAATTCTATAAGTAAACAGAAAAGTGTGCAGGCTGATAATTGTTCGTATTTTATATGTTTTTACCGCCCAACAGTCTTTGTGAACACGGATCTGTGAGAAGAGAAAAAGGTGAAAGACCCGGCTGCACTCTGATTTCCCTGCTCATGTTCCGCTTCTTCCTATCGGGGCACACACTGCCCTCAACCCTGGGAATTTGCTAAAATATTAAAAGTTTTTAACAGAACCTGCTTGACTGGAAAGGCTCCAAAATGCATCATAAAGTGGCATTGTGCTTCTCCCCCTTTCTGTTTTATGTTAAAAAGAAAACATTTTTGATGAAATGGAGACAATATTTCCAGTTTAGCACATTTCTGCTGTCAGAGGCTAATTTTACAGGTCAGAAAGACTTCTCAGACATACTTTTTTTTCTCACATAATGCCAAAATCAAATTGCAGAGAAGAGTGTGTGTGTGTGTGTGTGTGTGTGTGTGTGTGTGACAGTATTAAAAGCTGGGGAATAGGAACGGGAAGAGAGGAATGCGGCTAAAATCTTACCATCTCATTCTCTTCTCCTTCATTGAGCAAAGCATGTTGGCCCTTCTCAAAGTGGTTCCCCATGAAAAAGTGATTCCACGCCTCCTCCCTGACCTTCCCAAAGCAGACGCTCCCAGGACGAACTTGCAGAGCCCCTGGCAGCGGCCCCAGCTGACTGAAAGCGTTAATGATTCTCCAAGTTAAAACTCCTTCTTGAGTACACACCTTCACTCAGCAAATGCCAATACTTAGCAAACTGAACTGACTCCTCCCATGAGTCACCCTCTGCTCAGAGGATTTTCTGCCTGCTCCTTGCTCACTGCATTCTGTCAGAGTGGCTGTCCCAGAGGAGGCTGCTCCCATGCCCATCTTTTTGTGCCCAACTTACAGGGAAAGATCTCATTGCCTGCCCAGTGCCTGCCAGCATAAGACATCTGACTGCAAAACCAACTGGGCAATGTAGAGTTGGCAGGACCTTCTGAGGAAGTGGGCAGATTGGAGAACTCCCAGGTCACTGCTCTATTCACAGAGGCTGAGGAGCTGGGGTTGGAGTGAGGCTAACAGAGCTGCTGGTATCATTTGATTAAAGAAAGCCCCCAATCCACCGACTTTTAATCTGCATTCACTGTACTTACAAAAGGTACAAATTATGACTTCAAAAGGCATTTGTGATTACATTTCTTTGTGTGTGCTAAAAACATTCTACTTAAAGTACATCTAGAATTGTTTACTTTTGTGAAAAACGTGTAGAGAAACAACAAAGGTATAGTCAAACTATTTTATGCAGTCTTCTTTTATTAAAATGGGGGTAGTTAAATGCTGAAGGAGGTCTATAAATAAAATAATCAGGTGACTATGTGACAAAACTCATTTTTACCTTATTCACACATTCATTCAATACACATTATTTGAGCACAGAGGCTACATATATAAATCATTATATTTTCTACCTTCAGACTGATGTAGGCATTTAAACATGCAAACAAATACAGTAGAAGGTGGTTAGTTATTATGAAAGCCAAAATGGTACTTGTAATCACATTTCTTTGTGTTTGCAAAAGTATCGACTTCATGTGTATATGGAATTAAGTTTACTTTTGTGAAAACATGTGGAGGAAGAATAAAGGTGTAATCAAACTATTTTATGCAGTTTCCTTTCACTAAAATACTGGTTGTTAAACTCTTAAGAAGGTATAGAAATAAGATATTCTTCCAACAGCAAAGTTATCCGTCCGATTTCATAGATGAGCCATCCCTGCAGCTCTGTACAAGCTCCCCCAGCCAGCTGCAGCGCCTGGCTTCAGGATTTGGGGTGACTACAGCTCTGTGTGCTTTCAGCGCAGTCACGCACCACATGATGACCTTTCAGTCAACCACGGACTTCACGTGGTGTTAAATGCCACCCAAAGAATTTAAAAACCTCTATTGTCTAATGACATGTAGACATTGCAGCCACCGTAGTGCTGCAGCTCCGTGCATCACTTACCCGTTTGGGGGAACGCTGGTGGAAACAAACCGACCGCACTACCCATTGTACAAAAGTATAGGTCGTACGAATGTGGACAGTACTTACTACTTGATAATAATAACGAATGAGTATATTACTGGTTCATTTATTTACTATCCTTTTATCATTACTTTATAGTGTACCCTTGCTCCTTAAAAAAGAAAAGTTTGAGGTAAACAGCATGCAGGTTATGCTGCCAAGCAGCCCCATACATCTTGTGTTTACTGTGTCTCTGGTTTGCAACATTTTCTCTCGTGCTTGACTTATTCTCCCTACTGTGAAGGCGCACATGACTGTGTTCCAGAAATAATGTCCATTATTGCCTGCGATTGGGATGAAAGATTTTCCCTTTGCTATTTTTTTCGCTCAGAGAAGCAGATTTTGTCATGAGGTCAATTGTTTACCCAAGTACTTTCCCAGTCAAAGGTGATGTTTTGGGTATCCCCACTTTCCCAAGGTGCCCCGATGGGCCTGGGGACTAGGCTCACAAGATCAGAGGAAGGGGAGTCGGTCTGAAAGAGGGGGGCCAATCAGAGTGGGGAGAGGTGGGGCCTGGCAGGGAGCAAAGAACAAACAACAGAGCAGGAAGCAGGAAATATCCAGGAGGCCTAACACGTGGTGGCTAAGTTCTCATTTTTTTCAGAGCTGTTCAGGAAGTTTCATGGATCCTTAATGAGGATTTGTTTCCTGCCACAAAGAGAAGCCCACAAGTTCTTTACTAAGATATATGCAGTGCAATTGTAATAAACTTGCGTTACGTTTCCGGCTACTCATCTTAGGAGAGAATATTAACTTCTAGCTCATGCACCATGCCAAAGAGACTGGCAGTGGAAAGCTCCCAGTGGGGGCGAACCTCAGTAGAGGTTACATAGAACTTAAAGAAATTATGCTTTAGCAAAAAAATGTTTAAAGCGACATTTTCTTATTATGGCATTAACACATGTTTATTGTGGAAGACTAGATGATACAGACAAATGAATTAAGAAAAATAAATTTCTTCACTCAGAGATAGTCACTGCTAGAATTTTGCTGTATTTTTTCTTTTTGTTTATGCATCCATGGATAATATTGGGCTAGTGTTACATATAAGATTTGCATCTTGTATTTCACCCAATAATTTATTACTTTTTTCATGTTATTACCATTCTTGAAAATTTTGACATTGAATGGATGCATGCTATTCTTTCATATTGGATAGGTCCAATTTGAACTGTGCTGTGATAAATTTTTGTATATGTATATTTGGAATGTACCCAAGGTTATTCCCCTACAAACAATTTCTAAGGGTGAGATAGAGTGGTGATAATAAAAGTAACTGTCTTACAGAGTGGATGGCAGAAAAAGGATGTGAGGCACACAGCTTACAGCGGTGTTTGGCACATGGCAAGTATTCAGTGACTGTTAGGTATGATTATTATACATATGCACGTATTCTACTTAATAAATATAAACAAGTAGTCTTTCAGACAACCTTTCATTCATAACACAGGCATGTCATCAGATATTTTAATATCATTGAAAATATCGTGAACCACAACACAAGGCTTTATAAATGACATCTGGGTTAGGAGATGGAATCTGGCTAAAGGGATTGAAGAAATTAGCGCTAGTCCCTAAAAAGTGTGGGTAAAATGAGTGAGAAATACCGTGGAAAGGAATGGTAAGACAAATGTTGCCAGCAGAGCTAATGGACGTGTGGCTAAGGCTTAGGCTGGGCTAGTGTGTGTGGAGACGATTGTGTATGAGAGAGATTGTGTATGAGAGATTGTGTATGAGATTGTGTATACACACTTGTGTATGAGAGAGATTGTGTGTGAGAGAGAAAGAAAGAGAGATTGTGGGGATAGAGAGAAAGGAGTGCAAGGCTCTCGTGATGCCTACCATCTTCCTGGGCGGGAGCCCCAGCAGATCAGGGGTGCCCCCCCAGAAGCAATCAGAGATTACTGAGGGCAGAGTACAAGCTGAGAGGGGTCAACAGTGCTATGAGGGAGGAGGCAGACCAGAAACATGGAACATTCAACTGTGGAAAAGGTACAAGCCGAGACCATCTGTTCTAGCATAGGGGTTAAAAAGAGCAAAGCAAACACAAAAAGGCCTGAAGATTCAAAATTACGGCTAATTAATGGGTAGTACATTTCGCTAAGTGCACTGGAATTTAGGGCAGAAGTAAAGAGTATGTTAAGGGAGCAAAGGCAGCCCCATGGCTTCCAGAGAAGCATGGTCTAAAGTGCATTTGCCTTACCCAGAGGAGAAGAAAGCACTTTGTCTTGCTCCTTCCAGCATCCACACAGCTTTGTGAATTGAAGACCCAGGTGCTCCACTCTATACTGCTTCCACCTCTATTAGCCCATATGAGGCTGGTTCTATGGCAGCCTCATGACCTCCCTTCATGGAGCACTTACCATAACTGTGCCCAGCAGTTCTAAGCACTTCACAGTGTCACAAGGATGGGGAAAATAGTATCCATCTCATGTTACAGGTGAGAAAACTGAGGCTTGGGGCAATGAACTGATCTGTTCAATATCACACAGTAGGAGAATAAGAGGCAGGAAGTGAAAGTGTTTCCCATTTCTATTCCAAAATACTTGACTGTTTAATAATTTTTAGTGTGCGAGTTCCTGGCTGTCAGATGCCAGCAGAGAATGCCGACTGGGGAAGGCGCCTTATGCGGGGGCACTGTGAGGGGGGAGGGGAGAGGAAGGCTGGGACACCCGAGGGTGGGGTGTCTAGGTTGGAATCAGACCAGCCAATCCCTAAAGCTTCTTCCAATGCCAAGATGACTTGGCTCTGAATTTCTCTCATTTAAAAAGCTGGTGTTGCCCACATCAGACAGTGGGGCTGGCACTCCAGAACTGCCCTCCTGAGCCCAGCACCCTCATATTAAACTGCCCCTTTCAGTGCTAAGAACTTCACAGAAGTCAGAACACCCAATAGTAGCAAATGCTGACCACATGTTGACTCTGTACGAAGCGCCTAGTGCCATATCGACTCTGAGAGATTTATTAGAGGTTCAAAAATCTGTACTAGACCACACTGATAGTAAATGGCGAGGCATTCATTGGAGCCCAAGCTGCCAGACACTGAGGCTCATGCTCTTCTCCATTTTACTGAAGTATAATTGAATTCTAATCAACTGAACAAACATAAAATATGAAGCATGTCAGATGGACACCTGTGTAAATATCACCACAGCCATGAGCATCGAAGCCCTTACTCTTACACTGCTAGGCAGAAGCTTCCACTTGTTAACTCTAGTTCTTCCCTTGGCTTCACCAGGTCAATGTCAACCCTGTTCTTCTACATGAGAAGCGGTCTTGTATTTAAAGATAACCCACTTGTGCTCTCTAAATCTCCTATTCCCAGCGTGAGCTCCATCACGAGTGCCTGCAGATAGGTTTTCTAGGACACACCTGAGTTTCTCTGACCAGCTTGCCCACCCTCCCAGAAGGATTTTTCCCCAGGCAGCTTTGGTCACGAGGCACAGGGGCTGGGGCCAGGCCTACAGGTGGCCCACGCAAGGCTCAGGAGGCAGGCAGGCCAGCGTTAGGAAGTCTCAGGATTAGGGGCCCTGTCCTGAATGCTCCAGTCCAAAGAGGCTGACATCCTTCAAGAGAGTCATCAATTTGCATGTGTGCTTCACTGAGGAA